ATTATTATTTATTAATTATTATACAAGTACATTTGTTAATCGTTTACCATTGTACGTGATATTTGTCAAGTGAATGTTTAATAGATAAACATAAATTACAGAGAGACACTAATAATTTCGATTTCAACGTAATAAATTTTAAGCGTCTTTGACTACATTTTATTAAAAAATTACAATATTATATTATGAAATTGTTAATCTGTACTTACACATTATTGTTTACTCGCCATGCACCAGTTCAGTAAATACCCAGTTTACCCGGTATATACGCGTCTTAATTATTAAACTGTGTTAATTTTGTACGAGCTCAATAATTCCGAAATAGGTTCTGCAATGTTTTTCTGTCTGTGTATAACATTTACACAAAGATTAGATGGGAAAAAAATGCAATAACAATGTAGGAAATTTAATTTGTCATTTCAACAGCACTTTTTCCACTTGGAATAATAATTATTGTTTATATAACTAATATAATATATTATAATCCTATAATACTTTCATAAAATAACGGCGATATTGAAAATTGTGTATCGATATCTAATAATATTATAAATTATAATATTGTTTTACAAATTAATTACAAATAGAAAGTAAAACAAAAAAGGGGGAAGCGAGCAACCAGCATGCTCGTTAAGTTACAGGTGTTAAGTATACCTCGTCATTAGTAGTAAATCAGTTTTAATTTTGAACAACTGATTTTTTTATTTCTTATCATCCTAAAAATATAAACTAGACTCATTTACTATAAAAGATAATATTTGAGCTGAAAATTATAGTTAAATCGATAAATTCGTCGTTTTCTGCTCAGAATTTAAAAAATAATTTAAACAATTATATAACTATAAATGACTTACTAAAGTAATATTTCTATATGCAATTTTATTTTGATTGAAAATTTTAATTTTGAAAGTGAATTTTTATTTTTGTTAACGTGGGAAATTTTATACAGTATTTCTAGTTTTATCTACTGCGCATTACATTTGAACAAAGCACGTTAACATTTTTTATCTTGACTACATATTTATAATAGAATATCTGCCATCTGCATATCTGCCAATGTTTATTTTCTACCTACCAATTATGTGGAATGTCTAAACCCGAGCAAACATAAAGTTACAAATATCTGACAGATGTTTTATATAATATTTTATTATGCAGCTAAACACTTAAACAAATATGTATCTTTAAATAATAATTGTCAGCATATTTAAGAGCATAATATATACATATTGCTCGATTTGTCAAAAACGATTGTTACCAAAACGGATTTAACCATTATTATGATATTATTTGTGTAACTACATAATTAACTCTATATTGATAATGAAATTCACAATATAAATAAATCATATACAATATAATAAATTACACTTCTAATGACGTTACTACAGCATCTTAACTACATGACTTTTTAATAACATCAATATCATGTTTCGTTTTGTCCGTAGCAGACGATAATAATGTAAACATTTGCTACTTACTTGACAAAACGTTGACATCGGTTAGCCGATCTTATTATGAACGACCGTAAAATAAAATAAATAAATAATATGAACGAAAAGTTTCGCGAATACACGCTTGAGATAATACCTTGGGGTGTAATATAATTTAATGGATATAGGTAGATTGAAAGGTGTAGAAATAACGACAAAAAATACTTTATTTGATGTTAAAAAATAAAAACAAAAACAACGCGAACGAAAAAGTGTTCAAGAACATCAAAATTTAGTTAGAAACTTTTATGTTTACTTTTAAACATAGATGTATATATATTTATATATTTATATATACATACGAATTAACGTCCTGTCGGGCGAATACTGAACCCGTTATTAGTTGTGTTTCTACATAGGTATTAAAGAAAGCAATATAATTTCTCGTCAATCTTGAATTTTTCATTTTTTATGTAAATAATCTACAGTGTAGTATGTACAAAGTATTGCCATAATATTATTATTATTATTATTATATTATCACGATAATAACGAATGACTGCGTGAACTCTATACTAACATACTGTTATTCTAAATTACTTCAAAAATAAAGTTTGCGAATATCCGAGGTTATGATATATCTAGTAATATTATTATTTATGCTATGGGTCTTCGGGATAATAATTTATCTGTATGCGTACTATATTAGATTAATATTGTGTAGATTATTACAAAAACATAATATAATATGTCTATAACAGATGTTAGTGATAACCTATATATTATATTATAATTTATTCAACAGACGATGTGTACCTTGGACAAATCCATTTCTGGATCGATTTAATTTATTTCATTTATATGTAAATAGTATAGTATATGGACAGTGGACACGTTTGACGACCAATTGCTCAGAATCTAACATTTAGCATATTATACTCGGTAACAGTGTATAGTAAAAATTTGCTATTCAGTTTCAGGTATCTAAGCTATATAGTAATATATTAGCTATAAAATAGAAATATTCAAAGACATTTGAACATTCCTATTTAACTATACATGCAGGGTTATTTAAAATTAATCATCCGATCTTTGCACCTGGTTTTCAATTGGTCACCTGATATTATTCCCTGTAACTATTTATTTTGGAGGTATGTTGAAAATACCATACCTACATACATACCTTATACCACCTCACCTAACATATGCATGTAATTGATTTGATTTCTAACTAAGATGAAGTTGTTAATATGACCAAGGAAAGTAACATAGAACATTATTATTATAGATGTTATTTTATATAAATATGAAATATTATTCTTTTATTAAATGCTTCATAATTTATAATATTATATTACTCTAATCTAAACTTAATTAACTAAAAATTAGAGCTGAGTCGATACCAATACCCGATATTGATACTATCGATATATCGGGCATAGATTTTTTTCGAATTGATCATAAAATCCATAGTTAATATTTATTATTTAGTATTAGTCTGGTTATTATTTTTTTAAATATTTTATATCGTTTTATTTTTTTTTTCCATTTATTCAACTATAAAAGTATATTTAAAATTATTAATTACCTATTATTTATTTATTTATTTTAATAATTATTAGTTATTCTTGCGGAAATCTAATATGTTTTGTTATAATGATATGTTACATGATTTATATTTTACATCGGTTTATATATTGGTTATAGGTTTTTGAAAAATATAACAGTTTAAGTTTTTTTTTTTTTTTTATTGGCTCATGAAAATAAAATAACGGATCGGTTTTACAGTGGTAATATAAATCGAAATAAAGAATATCCGAAAAAATGTTATCGATCCAGCTCTACTAGAAATATACATATAAGCATATGAAATCGGGTGGATCATTTTGATTCATCCTATGTATTGGCTGGTAAATTTGTGTTATAATTATACGTGAAACACGTTAGTTGATTTTAATTAGTTTCCACGTGAATATCATGTAAACGCAAACAAAACACCTTGCAATCAAAATGGTCAACAATAGACACTGTTGTCAATATTCATTGTGTCCTGCACGTGCAAAATTTTAATGGCTGTCGTATAAGTAATAAGCCACGCAATTTCAAAAGTGTGATTAATTGTTTTAATGTCTGATATAGAATTCCGTTAAAATAGTGCCAAAACGATTTGTTTCATAGTGCAGATAATCAAAGTTCCACTGTATTATTATTATTATTAATATATAAATATATATATATATATATATTAGATTATATTATTATAAAATACAAATTGTTATTTCTTTAAATTTCAGTCAACCTGTAAAATATACATCTAGACCTAACCAGCAATATAAAAAGTGAATAATCGCTACCAATATCCTATATGTATTTTGTTATTTTCTTAAAACACATCTAGTATTTGAAAACTATTTTTATTTAATTTTTAAATACTATTAGAATACATTGATACATCAATCCAAAAATATTTTAAAAACTTTTTATGGAAATCAAACCTAACTTAATCTATAAGTATTGACTATTTTCATATTTTGAATAATATTTTTAGTCACGAATCCAAAATCATTAATATTTACTTTAATGTTAGTAATAATTTATTTGTACGAGTATAATAGGTAGCAATAGGTTAATGGCCATTTTAATTATATTATTATACATTTTTAAAATGTTCTACTTAAAAATTGTATATATGTACAATTGTCAATAAACATTGTTTTAGGAGTTAGACAATGTGAGAGTTTAGTTATGTAATTTATTCACAAACGGACTATTCATAAATGAAATATGTATTATATTATGAAAATCGCTGTATAAATATTGCCCAAGATAATCAAATAAGAATATCATACGCTAATAAATCAATATTTTACATCCGTCGAAATAACAATCGTTTTTATTTTTTATTTTAAAATATCTGATCGTTTATATATCATCCAAATTCGAAGTTCTGTTACACAATTAAAATATTTCAGTAAAAAAAAATCTTTAACCAATCAAAAACGCATATCACCATATAACATGTAAGAGTTACCAGTTAAAATATGGTTCGTACAAAGATCATATGCTCGAATTAAAATTAATGGTCTGAACGTGTTAGAAAGTTTGCATTTTTTTTGTTAAACTTGAAAGTTATACATTATGCATTAAAATATTTAATATTATGAGCAATAGAACATAAATATTATGGCTTACCGTAATTTTCGTTTAAAAGTATACGTAAATAAATTTATTCCAATCTTATATTTGATTAGATATTTAACTTTTTTAATTTTTTTGTCTGTCTTACACAAAATTATTACAACAAAGCTTATTAAAGTCCTATTTAGTATTTTATGTAATCGTATTTACCACATTAATGCACATAAAAAATACATAGACCTTTTCAAATACTATATATCTAGCAGCTCCAAATGAACGACAACAATTGTGGGTGAGTCACGGAGATGATAAAATCTATAATTTACTTTTACAAATTGGATGGTTAAAGTGTATTTAAGTGTCATTTCAAAACTTGTACTCATAACTTATATGGATTGAAACGAAATGATATGAGTTTGATGTTAACAGGGGTGCTTTTTCCGAAGTCCGATTGGCTGTGAGCAAGGAACGTCCAAATGAAATGTATGCCGTAAAGATCATCGACAAAAAAGCGTTAAAAGGCAAAGAAGACTCTCTGGACAACGAAATCAAAGTATTGAGAAGGTAAGGTTTAATAATATAGTATGCGATAAATGTATGTGTTCCAGCTTTATATATTGTGTCATATTTATTTATTATGTAGGGCTTCCACAATTGTATTTTAATATATATTTTTCATCCATTTCGCACGCGCGTCGTGATACGGAAAGAAGGTATATGATTCGTCAAGTACTTAGTTTATACTATTATCATAATATAGGTGAACACAGCGTTGTATTAATATTATTATGTGAAGCACGCCCTGCGGGGTGTCAATAATAATTCGTTACTGTACGCTCAGTAGGCGAACGGGTTATTTTACAAAATTGAATATTTGCATTTTTGTGCATTTGTTGTAATAAATTACTACGACATTTTAGTAATAACAGAAAGTAGTTAATTTAGTTAATTAACACTAACGCAGAGCAAGGATTTTTTAAAAATATAATTAACTAAATATAAATTTTTATCATATTATTATTAAGAACTCTATGTATTTATAGGTGCAAATCAATACTCCTGACATACTTTATTTTATTTTATCCATAGGCGACAATTTGTTATTAACATAATTGCTTTAGCCTTATTTTATGCATTTTAATAACAATACTAGAATTTATTATCAGTGATTGTGCTATTCCGTGAACTAAATATTATGATTGTGATCAGATAAATTAATAATTACACTGACATTATATTTTTTATATTATATATAATGATACATTTCATTTATCAAGTATGATCGCATTATATCCATTATTTATTAATAATGTATTTATTCAAATTTTGTTATTTGAAATTTTTAAATATACTCAAAGCACTTGAAATGTTAGTGTCGTGTTGTTTATTTTAGAACAAATAACACACTTTTATCTTACAAGTCATTAAGCACATTTTTTTTTTTTTCAAATGAAGTTACTTATTTGACTATATTGAAAGAAATTTTAAAACTATAGTTAATTAATATGAATATCATTGAAGTAAGATAATAATATTAATAATAGATTTAATATTATAGATTCGTGCATATTTCGAAAATCATTTTTAATAAATTTAACATATACATTTAAATACCAGTTACCCAGTAACTTTTTGTATTTATTTTGATTAAGAAAAAAAAGAGATTTTTATTGTCATTGGATGGTTACTCAACGTTATTACAAAATCTAAATAATTAAAAATATGATCAATAGGTATATTTATAATGTTCAAAAATAAAAATTTGATTCAATATTACAGGATAAAATAAAGGTGAGCATACTTGGTAAATTACCCCGTGTATGGATGTTTATGCGTATATTATTATATCAGACTAAATATTTAACCGTACATGGATACCTTCTGTATAAAAAACTAAACGGTTAGAAAAAATTCAATTAATTTTTATGACTGTGTTTAACGATAGATATCATTAAATCAGGGCAAATACATATTATTACGAAAAAAATAATAATTGGCCCGATTACAAAGCTATATTATACGGATTCGTTTTTTTTTTTATATTTATATATAATAATAATAATACATTATGCTAATTAATACTATATTTACTATAAATATATATTTATGTTATAATTTAAAATGATTGAACCAAGAGTGATTAGCAATTGATTGAATACTGTTGTATTGCACAATTTAGTTTTTTTTTTTACAATTTTAACATCATAACAAAATTTACAGACAGTATGTATATATTTTTTTAACGTATACTGTATTTTGTATCCGCCTACCATCATACCCGTGTGATTAAATTTTTCTACTGTTTTATAACGCAATAGAAAATGATTTATGTTAAGCATTGCTTTTTGATTTGTTTTAAAAACAAAAAAAATATATAAAAAGTCTAAGAAATATGATTTTGAGCATTTTTATTGCTTCATTCACAACCTAGTACAAAGTACTAAAATACATCACACATTACCTCCTACTATGAATATCACAATATTTTTTTTTTTTTTTTTAATACAAAACAAGTAAATATTAATTAGTTTACAATAACTGACGGTGGCAGATTACATGACAAGAAATCCTACATGCAACAAACTGCTGCAAGCCTTAGAATTTATCAGTTTTTGTACAGGGTTAAGGGATTTGTATCTTTATAGGTAGCTTCGTGTTAAAAATATAAGATCTCTTTAATATTTAACTTCAAAAAAGTAAATTCAGCTTTATAATATAGTAATTAAATTTTAGCTTTTAATTTCGGAAAACGTTAAACAATCAATTTATTATAGATTTATTTTTAGAATAATATTTGTACATGATAATACAATAAAATAGATTATTATTAAACAGTTTTTATTTCACATGTATAGTAATATTTTTTGGTCAAATAGTAAAATTTTAGTTAAATAAAATAAAAAGTTATATTTAAGTTAAATTATTTTTACTTTCTTTTTTATCAATCAATACGTAATACAAATGATAATGAATAAAATACAAAAATAGAAATATGGAACAATGAAAACTTTTTTTTTAAGTAATTGAAGTTTTGTGAGGTATACTTAAAAACTTCAACTGAACGTGACTTTTGGTGGATTGGATTGTTTCCAGTAGATGTAGTCGAAATGTTAGCCCCCATCACACCCACCTCTTAAACAGCTTTTGAAGCTTACTTAGCATTTTTTAAATAAAATATGAACTCGTGACTAAATAAAAATTAACAAATTGTCGAAAGAAAATACTACTGTGTGTATCTAGCAATGAAATATCAATTTTCGTCAGTACTTCAAATATTCAAAATATTCAAAAAATAAGATTTTATTTTTTTGTACTGGCTAAATATCATTGATATTTATAATTCATATATATCATAATAATTTATAATTAAATCAATATTATGAATCTTAAATGATAAATGAATTCACGTTCTAATCACTCAAGTAAATTGTTACTGATTTCCGTGTATATTTTGTTAACACAAATTCCCCGTACTTCGTTAACAGAAAAACATACATGTTCATACATTGTAAAAAATTGAAGATGTTTTCTAATATTCTAACATTTTAAATGTTTTTTTTTTATTATTATTATTATTTTAGGAGGTAATTGAAACAAATTTAAGATTTTGACATTTTAAAATATTAAAACAGTTGGATTTTAATTTTTAATACCTAAACATTAAATCTAAGATACGTTATTAAATGTATTCGTATAAATTCAAAAATGTTTATTGTAAAGTTCAAAACGTTTATACTTTTATCTTTTTTATTTATTAAAAAAAATTTCTTTTTCTCTCTGTTTACTATATAAAAGTGAAATTTGTAAACCATTATACCTAGATAATATTGTAGTTATCTATTCTCAGCGCATGTATACATATATATAATATACATTTTTGAAAAACAATATATTATATTATAGTCACATTATTTCTTTCGAGTACTTAAGTAAATATTAACAGTAATTTCCAATTTGTAATGTATTATTTTGGAAAATTATAAGTGATGCTAAAAAACAATTTTACCCTAAACTTCTTTATTTATGTAATCTTAATCGTCATTAACATGTACATTATTTATAGATAATAGTAAAAATATTGAAATATTAAGTGCAAATTTGTTCAAAAACGTAAATAATAATAAATTACATTTATCAATAACACAAAAATCTATTTTGTCCTCAAAATTATAAGTTTTAAACTATAAATTGTTATTATAAGTATTTTGCTTTCCCCGTATTGGTTTTTAAATAAATGTTAATATAATACATAAGTAGCAATATCTTGTTAAAATATATAATTTTTTTATTATTTGGACATTTTTTGTACCAGACTTGCATATTGCTACTTTACCTTAAAATGGTTAGGAGTTTAGGTTGACTTGGGAAGTGATAAGTCATTAATTTCGTTCATTTTAGTTAATACATAATGTATATAGTTAAACGAAATTAAAGCCACTCCGCGTGTACTGTATTCATTAATCAAAGTGGATTAATATGAGTTAAGTTGTTAGTTAACTCATATTTGGATATAAATATATTTGTATATCTACATAAGCTATTTCCGATCGAAATTCGATTTTAATTGGAGAACTTTGTCAACATTCGTGCCAGACTAGGTATTAACTCGTGGCCAATGAGCTTCGGCGATAGTTAAAGCAGATTACTCCTACTTCACATATATAATACATAATATAATTTCATAAATTCGTTTGGAAAGGTTTTACGACTATACGTACATTACTGAAATAATAATTATATTCCAATTAAACGAGATCGTCGTACACACAATACTATACTTTATAACACAGAGCATTAGGCATGACGTTAGGTCATTATGTTAAAAACAATTTGAAACTCACTAGTATATTTCTATTACAATGAAATGGGTACGTGATTCGTCTATTATTAATGATTATTTAATATAATGTTATAATAATAATGACGAACAATAAATTTAAACTTTTTCTCGTCACCTATTTTATTTCTAGTTTAAACAATTTTTTATTATTTATTTTTTTTAGAAAGATTAACTTACTATTTATGAATATAATTTTATAAGTGAAATTAATAAAATTTCTTTACTTGTATATAAACATTTTTAATATTATCTTGTGAATTTCTGTAACATGAGTTTGAAAAAAAAAAAGTAAATTCGTTTATCAAGAACAAACAATTATATTGTATGTTGCCACTTAAACATATTTTAGACTTTGAAATAATACCTTATAAAATAATATAGTTTCACATTACACATTTTAAAGTGCTCAAATTGAAAAAAAAAATTAATAGCAAATTTAAAATTAACAAAAATTAGCGACCTCGGCAATAATTAAACCCAAACCAATCCGTTTTTAGATAATACAGTTTACGCAACTACGTAAGAACGAAAAAAAAACGTTCCCTTTTGATGAAACGAAAATATAAAATACGATGGTTTCGTTATTCAAGTACCTATGCGACATTATAAGTATCTAAAACAAACGAATTTCCCTTTTCAATGAAATTTCCTTTACTGAATAATAATAACGTGAGAAAAATGGTTAAACATTTTCTCTTTCTTTTTCTTTTATTAATATGCTCGT